CCAAATGGTCAGTCCGCCCCTGTACCCTTTGGAATGTCTAATGAGATAACCCGGCTATTCCCCAAATACCAGGAGACCTCACATAACATGAACATAGCAGGGAGCTCTTTTGATGAGTAAAGTGGTCTTGTCACTGGCCTGTCCCAGAACTGGTGTCAGTAGTTTTTTCATTTTTATTATATCCTTTTATCCTCAGCAGCCCAGAATGAAGGGGCAGGAATTGCCCTGTACAGAGCTTCCCATTCACTCACAGGCTGAAGCATAGTAAACTCAGTTTACTATGCTACAGTTTTGAATGAACAGAGTCAGTGATTGGTACTGATCACTGACTCTGTTCACTCAAAAAAAAGGAAGGGGCCAGTGGATGACATACTGAAAGCATCCCTCGCAGCAGCTGGCAGGAGAGGGGAACCAGTGCTGCGAGGGGCAACCAGGGGAGCACACAGTGGCCTGGGGGCTGTAAGACCTGGATAGGAGAGGTGGACATGTAAAAACATCATCAAACAGGTAGATACAGGGGCAGGGGCGGACTGACAACTCATGGGGCCCCCGGGCAATAGGGGATCATGGGGCCCCTGTGTCCTCGCCTACACTCAAACCACACCCAAAAAAGCCTATGAAAGGTACCAGCAGCATCTCAGGGGGCCCCATACTGACCCCGGGTCTTCGGGCAGTGCCCGAGTTTCCTGAATGGTCAGTCCGCCCCTGTACAAGGGCATATCTACAAGGGTCGCATTTGAGATTGCTCCAGGGGGCCCGTGTGGCTCCCTGTAAACTTGAACAGGAGGGGCGCAGCATATAGAGCAACCAATCCCCTCCATTTTGAATGCCTGCACGGTGGAGAGGAGGAGAAGAAGGCTTTGCTACAGGGGAAAAAATGGAGGGCATTGGTTCCTCTATATGCCGCCCCTGCTGTCCAAGTATACAGGGGGGCCACACGGCCCCCCTGGAGCAATTGCAATTGCGACCCCTGTAGATACACCCCTGTACCTACCTGTTTGAGTGTTGTTGCTGATGAGAATGATGTTTTTACATGTCCACCCCTCCTATCCAGGTCTTGCAGCCCCCAGGGCCCCCTGGAGCAATTGCAATTGCGACCCCTGTAGATACGCCCCTGTACCTACCTGTTTGAGTGTTGCTGATGAGAATGATGATTTTACATGTCCACCGCTCCTATCCAGGTCTCGCAGCCCCCAGAGCCCCCTGGAGCAATTGCAATTGCGACCCCTGTAGATACGCCCCTTGTGACGGGAGACATGGAACACAGCCTCCTTTGGAGAGGTGGGGAGACCCCTGTCTCAGCTCTCCATATCCCTATTATGTGTAAGTCACCCTGTGCCTGTTAGGGGTACAGGGTGATCTGTCCTGATATTGGGGGTGGGGGGTTGTGGATTGTTTAATGTCCTGATATTGTGTAGACATGTATAGGTGGGGTGTGGGGGGTTGTTCATTGTTTACTGTCATGTGGTCCCATTGTTCTATTGTGTCTGGCTTGGGAGCAAACTATTATGGGATGTATGTGTTTATGTGTATTGGCTTGGTGGGGGTGTATCATATTCTTGTGTCTGTGTTAAAATAAAGCCCAACATTGGTGTATGGTCAATGGTGTCTGGGGATCTTGTTTCGGAGGGTGAAGGAATAGTGACCCATCATTGTGTGTCAGTGGGATGAATACGGAAATAGTGCCCCTTCATTGGTGTCAGTGGAGGAATAGTGGCCCCATCATTGGTGTCAGTGGGGGGAATAGTGCCCATCATTGGTGTCAGTGAGGGAAGAATATACGCTTTTCTAACGGAAATACCCCAGTTTGGATTTTTGCCCCTCTTCAAGGGGGCTCATTGGTGTCAGTGGCAGGAATAGTGCCCCATCATTGGTATCTGTGGAGGAGGAATAGTGCCCCATCATTGGTGTCAGTGGGAGGAATAGTGCCCCTTCATTGGTGTCAGTGGGAGGAATAGTGCCCCATCATTGGCGTCAGTGGGAGGAATAGTGCCCCATCACTGTGTTATCAGTGGGAGGAATAGTGCCCCCATCATTGGTATCAGTGGGAGGAATAGTGCCCCATCATTGGTATCAGTGGGAGGAACAGCGCCCTTTCATTGGTGTCAGTGGGAGGAATAGTGGCCCCATCATTGGTATCAGTGGGAGGAATAGTGCCCCATCATTGTGTCAGTGGGGGGAATAGTGCCCATCATTGGTGTCAGTGGGAGGAATAGTGCCCCTTCATTGGTGTCAGTGGAAGGAATAGTGCCCCATCATTGGTGTCAGTGGGGGGAATAGTGCCCATCATTGGTGTCAGTGGGAGGAATAGTGCCCCTTCATTGGTGTCAGTGGGAGGAATAGTGCCCCATCATTGGCGTCAGTGGGAGGGAATAGTGCCCCATCATTGGTGTCAGTGGGAGGAATAGTGCCCCCATCATTGGTGTCAGTGGGAGGAATAGTGCCCCCATCATTGGTGTCAGTGGGAGGAATAGTGCCCCTCATTGGTGTCAGTGGGAGGAATAGTGCCCCATCATTGGTGTCAGTGGGGGGAATAGTGCCCCATCATTGGTGTCAGTGGGAGGAATAGTGCCCCAACATTGTGTCAGTGGGAGGAATAGTGCCCCATCATCAGTATCAGTGGAGGAATAGTTCCCCATCATTGGTGTCACTGGGGAATAGTGCCCCATCATTGGTGTCAGTGAGGAGGAATAGTGCCCCATCATTGGTATCAGTGGGAGGAATAGTGCCCCATTCATTGGTGTCAGTGGGGGAATAGTGCCCCATCATTGGTGTCAGTGGGGAGGAATAGTGCCCCAACATTGGTGTCAATTGGGAGGAATAGTGACCCATCATTGGTGTCAGTGGGAGGAATAAGTGCCCCTTCATTGGTGTCAGTGGGAGGAATAGTGCCCCATCATTGGTGTCAGTGGGAGGAATAGTGCCCCATCATTGGTGTCAGTGGGGAAGAATAGTGCCCCTTCATTGGTGTCAGTGGAAGGAATAGTGCCCCATCATTGGTGTCAGTGGGGGGAATAGTGCCCCATCATTGGTGTCAGTGGGAGGAATAGTGCCCCATTCATTGGTGTCAGTGGGAGGAATATGCCCATCATTGGCGTCAGTGGGAGGAATAGTGCCCCATCATTGGTGTCAGTGGGAGGAATAGTGCCCCATCATTGGTGTCAATGGGAGGAATAGTGCCCCATCATTGGTGTCAGTGGGAGGAATAGTGCCCCTTCATTGGTGTCAGTGTGGGAGGAATAGTGCCCCATCATTGGTGTCAGTGGGGGGAATAGTGCCCCATCATTGGTGTCAGTGGGAAGGAATAGTGCCCCCCATCATTGGTGTCAGTGGAAGGAATAGTGCCCCCATCAATGTGTGTCAGTGGGGGGAATAGTGCCCCATCATTGGTGTCAGTGGGAGGAATAGTGCCCCCTCATTGGTGTCAGTGGGGAGGAATAGTGCCCCATCATTGGCGTCAGTGGGAGGAATATAGTGCCCCATCATTGGTGTCAGTGGGAGGAATAGTGGCCCCATCATTGGTGTCAGTGGGAGGAATAGTGCCCCTTCATTGTGTCAGTGGGAGGAATAGTGCCCCATCATTGGTGTCAGTGGGGGGAATAGTGCCCCATCATCGGTGTCAGTGGGAGGAATAGTGCCCCAACATTGGTGTCAGTGGGGGAGGAATAGTGCCCCATCATCAGTATCAGTGGGAGGAATAGTTCCCCATCATTGGTGTCAGTGGGAGTAATAGTGCCCCATCATTGGTGTCAGTGAGAGGAATAGTGCCCCATCATTGGTATCAGTGGGAGGAATAGTGCCCATCATTGGTATCAGTGGCAGGAATAGTGCCCCATCATTGGTGTCAGTGGGAGGAATAGTGCCCCATCATTGGTGTCAGTGGGAGGAATAGTGCCCCATCATTGGTTGTCAGTGGGAGGAAAAGCGCCCCATCATTGGTGTCAGTGGGAGGAATAGTGCCCCATCATTGGTGTCACTGATGTGATTAAATGGGGAGGGGGGCTGGAGCACCAATTTTATAGTTTGTCCCCCCGGGCGTAAAATATCCTAGCTGCGCTTCTGCGTCGGGGCGAGGCACCTGCTCGGATAATGTATTCCATTCGCATTCATGTGTGTTTTTTGTTCTTAACCGCTGATTTTTGACTTTGAAAAAGGAAAATAAAAAAATCTGAATCTGAAATGTTAAGAAACAAGAATTATATTCCATTCCCGCGTATAATACCCGACGTTTGTTGTTCTGTGCTGCGCATTTTAAATATTTACCGTCTAGCGGTGTTTACAGATCTTTTTTTTTCGACGTCAAAAGCATTTTTTCTTTCTGCTTAAAGAAAAGTAACCTTAATGAGCAGATGGAAGAAACCAGGAAAACAGAATCTGCGTCTTCCCTCCAGCAAGGAAAACCTTGGTGCGAAAAGTGAGGAAAAGAAAAGCTGTTTACATTCGAGTTTTCTATAATTCAGCATAAAAGTTACAGATGTGGATTAGATACAGGAGATGATGTATCCGAATGTAACCTTTTATTGGAATAGAGATTCAAAGGGTTACTGAACCCCCAACATTACAATCAGTCTGTAGATGCAGCAAAGCATGCTGGTTATACTCACTGTGGGTCCCAAGGGGTTAATCCTCTGCATTGTGTGTAAAAAAAAAAAAAGGCTGTTTGATCCTGTCTATTCTGTTCCTCCCCTTTTTTCAAGCGACCACCTCTTATTTCCAGACTGAAAATGTAAGTATGGACATACTCAGTTTGGTGTGTATTGCTAGAGAGGTTTTTTTTTTTCTTGGGAAAGTGCATGTGATCAGCACAGGGCCAATCAGCGCTGTCCAGACAGAGCAGAATCCTCCTAGAGCAGAATGAAAAATTCTCCTACAACTTTTAACCCGTGCTCTGCTGGACACTGATAGAAGTCACAAAGACTGTTATATACTGCTGATGAGAAAAGGTACTCAGCAGTTTATATTTACTAAAATAATTGCATTTCCATGTTCTGTGTACTGTGGGAGAGCGGATATAGTGAATGCAGGGTCCGGGGAGAGCGGATATAGTGAATGCGGGGTCCGGGGAGAGAGCGGATATAGTGAATGCGGGGGTCCGGGGAGAGCGGATATAGTGAATGCGGGGTCCGGGGAGAGCGGGGTATAGTGAATGCGGGGTCCGGGGAGAGCGGGTATAGTGAATGCGGGGTCCGGGGAGAGCGGGTATAGTGAATGCGGGGTCCGGGGAGAGCGGGTATAGTGAATGCGGGGTCCGGGGAAACCGGATATAGTGAATGCGGGGTCCGGGGAAACCGGGATATAGTGAATGCGGGGTCCGGGGAGAGCGGATATAGGAATGCGGGGTCCGGGGAGCGGATATAGTGAATGCGGGGTCCGGGGAGACCGGATATAGTGAATGCGGGGTCCGGTGAGCGGATATAGAGAATGCGGGGTTCCGGGGAGAGCGGATATAGGGAATGCGGGGTCCGGGGAGAGCGGATGTAGTGAATGCAGGGTGTGCAAGACTGAAGGGGAGGAGCCGGTACACCTGTGCAAGACTGAAGGGGAGGAGCCAGTACAACTGTGAAAGACTGAAGGGGAGGAGTCGGTACAACTGTGCAAGACTGAAGGGGAGGAGCCGGTACACCTGTGCAAGACTGAAGGGGAGGAGCCGGTACACCTGTGCAAGACTGAAGGGGAGGAGCCGGTACACCTGTGCAAGACTGAAGGAGAGGAGCCGGTACACCTGTGCAAGACTGAAGGGGAGGAGACGGTACACGTGTGCAAGACTGAAGGGGAGGAGCCGGTACACGTGTGCAAGACTGAAGGGGAGGAGCCGGTACAACTGTGCAAGACTGAATGGGAGAGTCGGTATACCTGTGCAAGACTGAAGGGGAGGAGTCCGGTACAAACCTGTGCAAGACTGAAGGGGAGGAGTCGGTACACCTGTGCAAGACTGAAGGGGAGGAGTCGGTACACACCTGTGCAAGACTGAAGGGGAGGAGTCGGTACACCTGTGCAAGACTGAAGGGGAGGAGCCAGTACAACTGTGAAAGACTGAAGGGAGGAGTCGGTACAACCTGTGCAAGACTGAAGGGGAGGAGCCAGTACAACTGTGAAAGACTGAAGGGGAGGAGTCGGTACACCTGTGCAAGACTGAAGGGGAGGAGTCGGTAACCTGTGGGTACTTGCCCTTCAAATCCTGCAAAAAAAAAAAAAAGTCCTTTTGGTTCTATTAGCGGCTGTGAGCGGGAGTGGAGTGCCCCTTGTGTCATGTCCTCATTTATAACCCTGTCAGTCTCACTCCTCGAGCGTCATTCTTTATTTTAATCATGGAATCTGTTTATTCAGATAAATTAGCCGGATTATCAGGCTTTTTCTTTTTGGTAACATATCATGAATAAAGGACATTTCCGTAACTCGGAGTGCGGAGACCGCGAGTCACTTAGGATGCCATTTGTGTTGCCGACGCACCTAGAAATTACATTTCGCTAAAAGGGATTCAATTATGGATGTTCGGCGGGCGGCGGCGGAGGAAACAAGGCAGAGCCCCGTCTTCAATCACGCTAATAAAATCGTTTATAAATGTTTCTTCTCGCTCTTTGATAAAAGCCGGAATAATGGTAGGCTGTGCCGCGCGCAGAGATGCAGATTTAATGTAGCGTCCGCGCGTCTGAAATCCCATTTTGTTTTGCGAGGATGAAAGGCGACTTTGATCAAACGGACAATTTGTAAAAGGGTCACTTTGGGTTTGGAGACCAACCAACCTTGCTGGAAAATGATACATTGTATCCGTAGAAAGAGTCTTTCCCAGGTAAAGTCCCTATTTCACTCAAATTGGTGATTTTATTACAGAAAACAACCAGTACGAGGCCGGAATGCCGCCATCTTTACTACCGCCGGGTAAGATGTGTTTTTGGGAGGAGCGATAAGAGCTTCATTGAAATCTCAGGAGGACCCAATCATTTCATTATGGTGCGTTAACCTCTTCATGCCGGCCAATCGCAAATGTGCGGCCTCCCGGGTCTGGGCCGAGACATTGAGCGGCCAGGCATTTGCGTTCCATTAAAAAAGAACATATGTGCTTAGAGCGCGCGCCCTGCCCGCTCCCAGCACACATGTCCAGTACTCACGGAAAGGTCCCCATCTCCTCTTTCGATCGGAACCTTTCCCGATCATGTGACCGCCGTGATGGTGTGCCATGGCAGTCACATGACCGTAAACCCCGCCCTGCCCTCCCGGCTTCTGAAACCCATAAAGGGCCAGGAGCCACCAGCGGAAAGGGGTTAAGGACCGCCCTATAGCAGATATACTGCTACAGGTTGGCACCCGTGCGCAACATCACGTATATATATGTGATTTTGCATGTCCAGGCAGGGGGCGGGCTTGAGCCCTACCACGCCGCCATTTGCAGCTGATGATGTTAATCACCGGGTCCCGACTGATAATTACCTGCCGGCGCCCTGTGATTGCCGAGCATCTCCAATGGGGAGGAAGATTGTTTTGTTTACAATCTTCCTCCCTGTCAGCTCGGGCACACTGCACAGTACAGCCATCCAATCACTGTGCCCACAGTGTGAAGCACACCCTCCCCCGCCCCCTAGTAAATCACTCCCAGCACACAGTTAACCCTTTGATCGCCTCTCACATTAACCCCTTCCTGCAGCTCCGGCACACTGCACAGCACAGCCATCCTAATCAGTGTGCTTACAGTGAAGCACACCCTCCCCCCGCCCCCTAGTAAAACACTCCCAGCACACAGTTAACCCTTTGATCGCCTCTCACATTAACCCCTTCCTGCAGCTGCAGCTCCGGCACACTGCACAGCACAGCCATTCCAATCAGTGTGCTTACAGTGAAGCACACCCCCGCCCCTTAGTAAAACACTCTCACCACACAGTTAACCCTTTGATCGCCTCTTACATTAACCCCTTCCTGCAGCTCGGGCACACTGCACAGCACAGCCATCCCCATCAGTGTGATTACGGTGAAGCACCCCCCTCTCGCCGCCGCCCCCTAGTAAAACACTCCCAGTACACAGTTAACCCTTTGATTGCCCCTCACATTAACCCCTTCCTGCCCAGTGCCATTAGTACAGTGTCAGTGCTTTTTTTTAGCACTGATCACTGTATTGGTGTCACTGGAGTGTCAGTGACACCAAGTTAGTTCCCTCCCAGTGTCAGAATGTCCAATGCAGTCCCACTAAAAGTCACTGATTTCCGCTATTAGTAGTAGAAAAAAACCCTCCATTATCTATACCGCCATTTGTAGACGCTATAACTTTCACGTAAACCAATTAATTTACACGTATTGGGATTTTTTCTTAGCGAAGACACGGAGCAGAATAGATTTTGGGTGAAATTTATGACGAAATTCGATTTTTAAAATTTTTTTACTGGACATGTTTAATAGCAAAAAGTCCAAAATGTTTTTTTCTCACAATTGTCGGTCTTTTTGTGCTTATATGTACTTTTTTTTTTTACATACTGTCACCCTAGCAGTAGTATCACCATGGTGACACTGTACTACTTGTGGGGGGTGATAAAGATTTTTTTTTTTTTTTTTTTACACGGATTGCTTTTACACCCATAAAGGCTGTAAAAGCAATCATTTCTCCTTCTTCTTGCAGTCATTGAGAAATACTGTGAGAGCTGCGATTGGTCACAGCTTGTCACATGGTACAAGGCTGTTGTGAATGGCCCTGTACCATGTGATCTCTGTGATAATTCACAGATTTCACTAGTAGTAAGCAATGATGTCAGGAAGTGACAGTTTACTCCTGTTCATGTGATCACTGATTGGCCAATCAGTGATCACATGAATCGGGACCTCACACAGAGGTCCCGTACAGTGATCGGTGTTCCGCTGTGTCCTGAGGACACAGCAGGAACCAGATCGCGGTGCTGCACACTCCCAGGGAGCGCACACAGGCAGGGAATGCAGGAGGACGTTTATAAAGAGCCACCCACTCCTGCACTGCTCCCGTCTGGCTGTTGTGTACATGGGCCCGGATGGGAAGTGGTTAGAGTAACCCCCCCTTCATCCATCCATCCATGCCTCCAAGCTTTACTTTGTTGAGAAATCACTTTGAAAAAACACTCCCCCTATCATTTCTATCCACCGCCATCTTGAGTAAGGGCAGGTGATTCATGTAGCATCAGGCATGCTGATGGGAGGGTGCGCTCAATTGAGAAAGCCTCTCCTCCCATGGAGACTCCTGGGATGTATGACATCATCTTGGCCTAGGGCTTGAAGAAATGTAAAAAAAAAAAAAGAGTAAAACAAGTAAAAATAATATACCTCACTATCTATTCTGGATTGCAACCTGGACTGTGGGGAGCCTGCCGGGCAGTTAAAGAACCACACATTGAGGTTACCACCAGAAGTACTTTTGCCTGGCACCTGGATGGAAAGCCTTGAGTGCTCCAATGGTAGGGGTTGACACCTTGTCCCTCTAAAACCGAACACATATTAATTACACAGGTTCTGTGGCTGATTACGGTGGTAATTAAACTCACTTGGTGCCTTATCTGAATTAAATCAGCCTCAGAACCTGTGTCATTAATATGTGTTCGGGTTTAAAGGGATGAAGTGGCAACCCTATCCAATGCAATGTTTTGGGCCCCAACGGTTTGGCCAGCAGATGGTTTAGTGCATGGATATACTGTAATTGATTACTGAAAAAAGTAAGAAGGCTGTCTTTCTGTGGGGAGAGCAGGGCTGAGACAGACTGACTCACCTGAACGCAGCGATGACCATCTTGAATAAAGTCATCTTGAATGTAGCATTTACTTCCAGAAATCTATCTGTCCTTAGCTCAGGCATGCCGGCAGGAGGGTGTGCTTAATTGAGAAAGCCTGTCCTCCCATGAAGACTCCTGGGATGTATGACATCATTTTGGCCTAGGCCCTGAAAAAATGTAAAAAAAAAATGATAAAACAAGTAAATATAATATACTTCCCAATCTATTCTAGAGCTTTGGATTGCAAGCTGGACTGTGGGTCTGCCATGCAGTTAAAGAACCACACATTGAGGACACCTCCAGAGAGAGAGAGAGAAGCACTTTTGGATGGAAAGCCTTGAGTGCTCCAATGCAAAGTTTTTGGGCCCCAATGGTTTGGCCAGCAGATGGTTTAGTGCATTGATTACAGAAAAGTAAGAAGGCTGTCTTTCTATGAGGAGACCAGGGCTAAGAGAACCTGGACTGTGGGCCTGCCACGCAGTTAAAGAACCACACATTGAGGACACCTCCAGAGAGAGAGAGAATCACTTTTGGATGGAAAGCCTCGAGTGCTCCAATGCAAGTTTTTGGGCCCCAATGGTTTGGCCAGCAGATGGTTTAGTGCATTGATTACTGAAAAAGTAAGAAGGCTGTCTTTCTATGGGGAGACCAGGGCTAAGACAGAATGTGACTCACCTGAACACAGAGATGACCATCTTGAATAAGGCCATCTTGAATATAGCATTCACTTCCTGGAATCCATCTGCCCTTAGCTCAGGCATGCGCCAAGAGGGTGTGCTTAGCTGGGAAAAGCCCCTCCTCCCATGAAAACACCTGGGATGTATGACATCATTTTGGCCTAGGCCCTGAAGAAATGTAAAAAAAAAAGAATAAAACAAGTAAATATAATATACCTCCCAATCTATTCTAGAGCTTTGGATTGCAACCTGGACTGTGGGTCTGCCACGCAGTTAAAGAACCACACATTGAGGACACCTCCAGAGAGAGAGAGAAGCACTTTTGGATGGAAAGCCTCGAGTGCTCCAATGCAAGTTTTTGGGCCCCAATGGTTTGGCCAGCAGATGGTTTAGTGCATTGATTACAGAAAAAGTAAGAAGGCTGTCTTTCTATGGGGAGACCAGGGCTAAGACAACCTGGACTGTGGGCCTGCCACGCAGTTAAAGAACCACACATTGAGGACACCTCCAGAGAGAGAGAGAATCACTTTTGGATGGAAAGCCTCGAGTGCTCCAATGCAAGTTTTTGGGCCCCAATGGTTTGGCCAGCAGATGGTTTAGTGCATTGATTACTGAAAAAGTAAGAAGGCTGTCTTTCTATGGGGAGACCAGGGCTAAGACAGAATGTGACTCACCTGAACACAGAGATGACCATCTTGAATAAGTAGAATGTAGCATTCACTTCCTGGAATCCATCTGACCTTAGCTCAGGCGTGCCGGTGGGAGGGTGTGCTTAGCTGAGAAAGCCCCTCCTCCCATGAAGACTCCCGGGATGTATGACATCATTTTGGCTTGGGCCCTGAAGAAATCTAAAAAGAAAAGGATAAAACAAGTAAATATAATGTACCTCCCAATCTATTCTATCTTTAGCAAGTGCAGATGATTCATGTAGCATTCACTTCCTGAAATCCATCTGCCCTTAGCTCAGGCATGCCAGTGGGAGGATGTGCTTAGCTGAGAAAGACCCTCCTCCCATGAAGACTCCTGGGATGTAGGACATCATTTTGGCCTAGACCCTGAAGAAATGTAAAAAAAAAAAAAAAAGGCTAAAACAAGTAAATATAATATACCTTCCTATCAATTTACTAAATGCTGGCAGCATACGGAGTACAAATAGCTCATAATGATTGAGAGAGTTCAGATCAGCTTTAAGAGAGCCTATTCAAAGTCAATGGGCTGCCAACGCACTAGAACATGCCTGACAGCACCCATGACCCTTTTATTCGTAATGCAACACACAGCTTGCAATAGAGAATGTTACACTGCAACATACTAACATAGAAAACGAACAATACAGCGTGTCCCTGAAGCACATGTGGTGACGCATATGTGACCACAAGGCAGAAATGGGAGAAAGTTTTGCCTGCTGTGGTCACATGATCAGTATATACAGTGTGTATAAGTATGTACAGTCGTGTTCAATATAATAGCAGTGTGTTGAGAAAAGTGAATAAAGCTGAAAATCCTTCTAATAGCTTTTATTTCCATCCACACAAATGCATTGGGAACACGACACATTCTATTCCAAATCACAACATGAAGAAAAATACATCAAATTTGTGTTGTTCCTCTAAAAAAATGGAAGAAAAGTGAATATTAGACGGTTTAAAAAAAATGGCCGTGTTTGTATTCTTCTTTACAAACTCAAACATTCACTATATAAACTGAGAAATGTTTGAAGATTTTGCTTTCCTTTGAATGACTTCATGAATATTTGGTTGTAGTCGCACTGTTTCTGAGATCTGCTGTACATCTGTGTTGCATGGAGTCCCCCAACTTCTGGCCCCTGTGATCAGGTATTCCAGCCCAGGATGATTGGACCACATTCCACAGTTCTTCTCTATTTCTTGGTTTTGCCTCAGAAACGGCATTTTTGATGTCACCCCACAAGTTTTCTATTGGATGAAGATCCGGGGATCGGGCTGGCCACTCCATAACGTCCATCTTGTTGGTCTGGAACCAAGATGTTGCATGTTTACTGGTGTGTTTGGGGTCGTTGTCTTGTTGGAACCCCCATTTCAAGGGCATTTCCTCTTCAGCATAAGGCAGCATGACCTCTTCAAGTATTCTGATGGATTCAAACTGATCCATGATCCCTGGTATGCGATAAATAGGCCCAACACCGTAGTATGAGAAACATCCCCATATCATGATGCTTGCACCACCATGCTTCACGGTCTTCACAGTGTACTGTGGCTTGAATTCAGTGTTTGGGGGTCGTCTGACAAACTGACTCCGCCCACTAGACCCAAAAAGAACAATCTTACTTCCATCAGTCCACAAAATGTTGCGCCATTTCTCTTTAGGCCGGTCAATGTGCTCTTTGGCAGATTGTAACCTCTTCAGCACACACGTCTTTTTTCCAACAGTGGGACTTTGCGGGGACTTCTTGCAGATAGCTTGGCTTCACATCGGCGTCTTCTAATTGTAACAGTCCTCACAGGGAACGTCACACCTTCTTTCATCTTCCTGGAGCTGATTGTTGGCTGAGTCCGCGCCATTTTGGCTATTCTTCTATCCATTCCAATGGTAGTGTGAGGGACCGCCGAGCGGCACCACTAGCACTCCACTGGTCAGGCGTGCCCAGAGCGCGGAGTCTAAGCCCCGGGGTACTTGTTCACCAGGGCCCCTGATGGTGGGGATGGACTTTGTAGTACCCCGAGACCAGGTCGCCTCTACTGAGCACACCTGTCAGTGGTAGGGGTGTTCGCCAGGGGTTCCAACCAGGGAGAGCCAGATGTGAGGAGGTCGGGTGAGCCCGATGGGATGGATGGATGGATGGCTGAGCAGGTGCGTAGTCAGACAGGCCGAGTCGGTAATGTAGAGGACGGTAAGGTACAAGGGAGCAGGCAGAGAATCGTCGGGTCACACGCCAGGTCAGCAACAGGAGGTCAGATCTAATAAGGGGCATCCAGGGAGAGAGGTCAGGCAAGCAAGGGTCTGGGCAGGAGAAATCAGCAGGTCAAGAGTAATCCGGGTCAATAACTTACTAGGCACAGGTACAGGATCACAGGAAGCAGGTAAGACCAGAAGGCAACGAAATGACAGCTCAGGGACCTTTAAATATCCCGCCCTGCGCTGCCATTGGTGCCCAGCGGGCGGCCGCGGCTTCTACTGCGCATGCGCGAACTCGAACGCCGCGGCCGGCCCGGACCCAGTGCCTGTGCACTGGGTGGAGCAGTGCGCCTGCGCCGGGACCATCGCGGCAGGGATCGCGGAGATCCCTGACATTGCCCCCCCCCTACGGGCAACCTCCGGATGCCCACCCCGATCCTCTCCACCACGGGTGATCACAAAGAAACCTCCGGACAAGCCTAGGTGCATGGACATTATGGGCTGGTTCCCACGAATTGTCCTCAGGGCCGTAGCCCTTCCACTTGATGAGAAATTGGGTCTGGCCCCCCCTTCGTCGGCACTTCAAGATTGCCTCCACCTCGAATTCTTCCTCCTCTTCGACCGTTATGGCCTCCGGGGGCCTGGATTCCCGTTCTGGGAAGGCATCAGGGACTACTGGTTTCAACAGGGACACGTGGAAGACAGGGTGGATCTTGAGTGTCTCAGGGAGAACAAGTTCATAGGCCACTTCATTGACCATCCGTTTGATGCAGAAAGGGCCTATAAATTTAGGTCCCAACTTTTTTGACGGGCAGAGCATCCTCAAGTTAGACGTAGCCAGCCAAACCTTCTCTCCGGGCTGCAACACCAGATCCCCTCTTCACTTCCTATTAAAAGCCCTCTTGTAGTCTTCTTGGGCTTGACGGATGGCTTCCTGTAGTTTCTTATTGTTGGAGGTGAAGAAGGACAGTGCGTCCTGTGTCGCTGGAATCGGGCATTCCGGGACCAAGTCCGGGAGGAAGACCGGATGAAACCCATAGTTGGCGAAGAATGGGGACTGCCCAGTTGCTGAATGGCAAGCGTTGTTGTACGCGAATTCTGCCAAAGGGAGGAGTGGCACCCAGTCGTCCTGAGAGAATGATGTGTAGCATCGCAGGTACTGCTCCAGGGTCTGATTGGTCCTTTCGGTCTGGCCATTGGTCTGAGGGTGAAATGCCGAGGAAAGGGACAGCTTGATATCCAGGGCTTTGCACAACGCCCTCCAAAATCGCGAGGTAAACTGCACCCCTCGGTCCGAGACGATGTCTTCGGGAACCCCATGCAGTCTAACGATCTCTCGAATAAAGACTTGCGCCGTCTCGGCTGCTGATGGAGTCTTCCGTAACGGGATGAAATGGGCCATCTTGGATAAGCGGTCCACGACCACGAGAATTGCTGTGTGGTCCAGTGAAGGTGGAAGCTCGACTATGAAGTCCATAGAGATTTTCTGCCAGGGCCGTTCAGGGATGGGCAATGGACGTAGCAAGCCCCACGCCTTATTTCTTGAAGGCTTGCTCCGCTGGCAGATGGCACAGGAGCCCACGTAGTTCTTACAATCCTGGGCCATGTCCGGCCACCAGAAAGGAACGTCGGAGAAGTTCCAGGGTCTTGACCGGCCCAAAATGTCCTGCCAGTGGATGGTCATGGCAGTGTCCCAAGACTAAGGTTCGGGCATCCTCCGGCACCACAATCCGGTCCTCCCTCCATAGGAGTCCCTCCTTGTTCTGGAGGGGGGCCCCATCGGAGGTAGACATCGCTGTGGACACTCTCAGGATCTCGGAGCGAAGGTTTGTCTGAAGGGCCAAGAAATTTCCTGCAGGAAGAATAGTGTCTGGTACTGGGGTCTCCTTGGTGTCCTCATACATGCGCGACAACGCGTCAGGCTTCGTGTTTTTCGAGCCGGGCCTGTATGTGATGTGGAACTGGAACCTCAAGAAAAACAATGCCCATCTTGCTTGTCGTGGGCGTAGACGTTTGGCCGTCCTCAGATATTCCAGGTTCTTGTGGTCCGTGAATATATCAGGATGGGATGGGAGGCACCTTCCAGCAGGTACCTCCATTCTTCTAAAGCGGTCTTGATAGCCAGTAGCTCGCGATCCCCAATGTCGTAATTCCTCTCCGCAGGGGTAATTTTCCGTGAGAAAAATGCTACTGGGTGAAGTAATTCCTTGGCGCCCTTCCGCTGGGAAAGGATGGAGCCAACCGCGTTTTCTGATGCATCTACTTCTAAGATGTAGGGCAGGGAGGCGTCGGTTGACCCAGAATGGGTGCTGAGGTAAATAACCTTTTTAGTGCTTCAAAAGCTTCCTGTGCCTCTGGCGTCCATCTGAATCGCGTCCCAAGCTTGGTTAACTGAGTGATGGGGGAGACCAGACCCGAGAAGTTCTTGATGAACTTCCGGTAGAAATTTGCGAACCCAATGAAACGTTGGACACTTTTCCTGTCCGTGGGTTCAGGCCAATCTAGGATCGCTGAGACCTTCTGAGGGTCCATTGCGACTCCCGTGGTGGAGATAATCAGACCCAGGAATGTAACGCTAGCCTGTTCAAAGCAGCATTTCTCTGCTTTAGCGTACAACCCGTGCTGCCGCAACCGCCCCAACACCTTTGTTACATGTACCCTGTGCTCCCCCAGGGAGGATGAGAAAATCAAAATGTCGTCTAAGTAGACGATGACAAAGATGTCCAGGAAGTCCCTAAAGATATCATTTACAAAGTGCTGGAAAGTGGCTGGCGCATTGCACAACCCGAAAGGCATGACCAGGTATTCAAAATGGCCGAAACGGGTGCGGAAGGCCGTCTTCCACTCATCCCCCCTCCCTTATGCGAACCAAATTGTAGGCCCCTTAAGTCCAGCTTGGTAAATACTACTGCAGCTTTTAAGCTCTGGAATAATTCAGGTACCAGTGGTAATGGGTAACGATTTTTAATGGTGACCCTATTCAGTTCCCGATAGTCAATGCATGGCCTCAAAGTCTTGTCCTTCTTTTCTACAAAGAAGATCCCTGCACCTGCTGGGGAAGTGGAGGGACGGATGAATCCCTTTCGGAGGCTATCCTCAATATAGTCCTTCAGGGCCCCTAATTCTAGCTCAGAAAGGGGAAAAATTCGCCCGAACGGAATTTCAGAACCGGGCAACAGATCGATAGGACAGTCATATGGGCGGTGGGGGGGGGTAGAGCATCTGCTCCCCGTTCACTGAACACATCAAGAAACTTGTGATAGGCTGCAGGAATTACTTGTTTTAGGCTGTCATCCCCTTCAGAGCACAGAAGGACCTGGGGGGACCTCCGGGCCCGAAGTTCGACACAGTTCCCGACAATATGGGGAAGGGAACGAGACAACCCCAGTCTCCCAGTCAATTTGGGGGTTATGGGCCCGCAACCAAGGGAGCCCCAGAATGACTGGGAAAAGGGGTGATGCAATAGCATCCAGTCGGAGGAGTTCCTGGTGCTGACCGGCAATGGAAGTCATAATGGAAGGGGTCTCCTGGTTAACCACCCCTGACTTTATCCGGGAACCATCAGCCAAAAAGATGTGAAACCCCTTCTCCTTTGGGCGGAGGGGGATACCCTGCTGGTGAGAGCAAAATTGATATCCACAAAACAGCTGCATGCCCCCGAATCAACTATGGCCGTCACCTCCACGGTCCTTTCTGAAAGCTGAAAGGAGAGGGGAACAACTAAGTACTGGGACGGACTCGTATTGCCAACAGATAAAGAAGATGAGGTGAACTTACTCAGTTTCTGCGGGCAGGAACGCACCATGTGACCAGCTTCGCCGCAATACAGGCACAGATTCTGGGAGCGTCTGCGCTGGCGTTCCTCAGGCGATAGTTTAGGCCGTGCCAGGCCTAGCTGCATGGGTTCGGGAGCATCTTCAAACGGCAGGTTCTGGATGCTTGGCCTAGCATGTTGACTGGATCCCTGAAATGACCCCCAGGGATTTCCGCGACCCTGACCAGACCTCTCCAATCTGCGCTCCCCCAACATCCGTAGCCTACGGTCAATTTTAATGGTGAGTGCAATCAAGTCCTCTAATGTCTCGGGCACCTCCACCCGGGCGAGCTCGTCTTTCAGAGCCTCAGAAAGGCCCATACGGAACTGGTGCAAAAGTGCGAACTCGTTCCAACGGGTGTCACCCATCCAGCGCCTAAAGTCAGAGGCGTATTCCTCAGCCGCCCGCCGACCTTGTCGGAGTGCGTATAATGTGGCCTCGGCCGAGGCTGCCCGTTGTGGGTCATCATATAAGATGGCCATGGCGTTAAAGAAGCTGTCGACCGTAACCAGGTGAGGGTCATTGTTTCCCCTTAGTCGGTGGGCCCAGTCTTGGGGTTCACCCTGCAACAGGGAGACAACAAACCCCACTTTCACCGATTCTGTCAAAAAGGTCCGTGGCTGCAGTTCAAAATAGAGCAGACAGGAGTCACGGAATGACCGAAAGCGTGTGCGATCCCCGTGGAAGCGCTCGGGTAAGGGTACTCGGGGTTCCGCCATAGGGAGTGATGTGGGAGGAGGCCCAGGAGCCGGCTCGTGGGCTGCTGCGACCGGTGGTGCAGGAACCGGGGCCTGTGAAACAGGAACAGAGATGGTGCAGGCCTGAAACCGATTCTCAATCTGCAGACATCTGTCCTGTAATGTGTTTACTGCTTGCGTCAGGGTGGCCAGGTGCCTGCAAACCTCGTCCAATGGGGAGAGTCCTCCTCGAGGCTCAGTCATGGCCTTCTGGTACTGTGAGGGACCGCCGAGCGGCACCACTAGCACTCCACTGGTCAGGCGTGCCCAGAGCGCGGAGTCTAAGCCCCGGGGTACTTGTTCACCAGGGCCCCTGATGGTGGGGATGGACTTGTAGTACCCCGAGACCAGGTCGCCTCTACTGAGCACACCTGTCAGTGGTAGGGGTGTTCGCCAGGGGTTCCAACCAGGGAGAGCCAGATGTGAGGAGGTCGGGTGAGCCCGATGGGATGGATGGATGGATGGCTGAGCAGGTGCGTAGTCAGACAGGCCGAGTCGGTAATGTAGAGGACGGTAAGGTACAAGGGAGCAGGCAGAGAATCGTCGGGTCACACGCCAGGTCAGCAACAGGAGGTCAGATCTAATAAGGGGCATCCAGGGAGAGAGGTCAGGCAAGCAAGGGTCTGGGCAGGAGAAATCAGCAAGGTCAAAGGCAATCCGGGTCAATAACTTACTAGGCACAGGTACAGGATCACAGGAAGCAGGTAAGACCAGAAGGCAACGAAATGACAGCTCAGGGACCTTTAAATATCCCGCCCTGCGCTGCCATTGGTGCCCAGCGGGCGGCCGCGGCTTCTACTGCGCATGCGCGAACTCGAACGCCGCGGCCGGCCCGGACCCAGTGCCCGTGCACTGGGTGGAGCAGTGCGCCTGCGCCGGGACCATCGCGGCAGGGATCGCGAGATCCCTGACAGGTAGTTTTTTCGCTTTCTTCCACGTCTTTCAGGTTTTGGTTGCCATTTTAAAGCATTTGCCATCATTTTAGCTGAGCAGCCGATCATTTTCTGCACTTCTTTATATGTTTTCCCCTCTCCAATCAACGTTTTTAATCAAGGTACGCTGTTCTTCTGAACAATGTCTGGAACGACCCATTTTCCTCAGAATTTCAGAGAGAAATGCACTGTAACCGGCATGTCCAACATTTGCTGCCTTCCTTCCTTAAATAAGGGCAATAATTGCCACCTGTTTTTCAAAGAATGAATGACCTCACTAATAGAACTCCACACTGCTATTATTTTGAACACGCCCCTTTCAATGAGTGATTCAATGACACAGAATCAGCAGCATGCATGTCATGACTGTCGGGTCTGTTGGATTTCTATGACTCTACTACACCTGCTTTTTCACAGAAATTATGACTCTACTAACCTGCTAGGCATTATTTGCCATGAAATATCATTTCCACCACAAAAACAGTGATTGATCCGGTTAGTGATGTCTGACTGCTATTTGTTAGAATTTCACAAAAACTGTTGATCCGGTTATATATATATTAGTATAGATAGATAGATAGATACACACACACACTATATTGCCAAAAGTACTGTCCCCGCCCTCCAAACCATGTGATTCAGGTGTTCCAATCCCCTCCATGGTCACAGGCATATACAATCAAGCCCCTAGGCATGCAGACGGCTTCTACAAACATTGGTGAAAGAATGGGTCGCTCTCAGGAGCTCAGTGACTCCAAGCGTGGTCCCGTGATAGGTGGCCACCTGGGCAATAAGTCCATCCGGGACATTTCTGGCTACTAAATATTCCACGCTCAACTGTTAGTGGGATTATAACAAAGTGGAAGCAACTGGGAACAATAGCAACTCAGCCACCAAGTGGTAGGCCACATCACATGACAGGGCGGGGTCAGCGCATGCTGAAGCGCACAGTGCGCAGAAGTCACCAACTGTCTGCAGAGTCAATAGCTAAAGACGTCCAAACGTGGTGTGGCCTTCAGATGAGCCCAAGAACAGTGCGTAGAGAGCTTCATGGAATAGGCTTCCATGGCCGAGCAGCTGCATCCAAGCCTTCCATCATCCAGTGCAATGCAAAGTGTCGGATATTGTGGTGTAAAGCACGCCACCACTGGACTCTCTGGAGTGACCAATCACGCTTCCCTGTCTGGCAATGCGACAAATGAGTCTGGGTTAGGC